GATTTAATGTGTGATATTCCTAAGTCATCGGTGAAAAGGGTGGCGAATATTGCCGATCGAGTAACGGGAAAAAACGACTGTTTAAATCGCGTTTTTTTTCATATATAAATATAACAGGGCAACCAAACAAAAAAAGAAGCTTTTTGAGATATAAAGATAAAACCATTTATGGGGTATAGTAGGCCTTTAACAATCCTTAGAATATTGTCTGATGATACAATAGGTGTACATGAACGCGCAAACACTCCTATCATCATCTTGATGAAAAAAATCGTTGTTGCTGCAATTATTGCTGTTGTTGTTGTTATTACTGCTTTTGATATTGTTGTTGTTTTTGTTTCTGCTGCTGTCATTTTTTATTATTTCTTATTTTATTATTATTATTATTATTATTATAATTATAATTTGTTGCTGCTGTTGTTTTTTGTCGTTGTTGTTGCTGATGCTACTTCTACCAGTGGTGTTATTGTAATTGGCGTCGTCGTTTGATGAACTGTCAATCATAAAAATAGTTTCTTACGTCTTAACATGTTAATGAGACGTTGCTTCTCAGAGCAATATAACTGTTACGATATCTTCTACAAAAGAATTAGTTATTACCCATGCTTTGAATTTTATGAAGAAAAAAAGATAAATAATGAATATGTTGTCAAAGGCCAGTTACACAAGGTTTTATTAATTGTCAGTATTGAGTGCTCTCCCTTTGTCCGTCAATAATTCGTATTTAACGTCATCAATAATTTTGTTAAGCTAATGCCATGCTGAAAGTGATTCTCAATGTTCATGAGCATGTATCTTTCAATATTTATGAGCACGTGACCTAAAATGGCTTAGTATCCCTCACGTTGACAATTTACTATGTACTCGTATATAGCCTAATGTGACGTCACATGGTGTCAATTCGACAGAGATGTATACGGTGGCTGATTTGGAACACTTGTGCGTCGTGTTGGCGCTTGCGACAACAGGACAAAGCGCCAAACGGCGCGTTGTCGGACTTTCGTCTTGTCATCCTGTCGCTAACGATGTACGCCAAACGGCGCGTTGTCGTGCGGCGTGTTGTCGCGTTGTCACATTGTCTCTCGGTTCAGAAGTTATCTATGTCTCTGCATCCTGGAAAAACTTTAAATGACCGAAAAAGGTTTTTCAACAATATTTATATTAAAGTCTTCTAAGCATTTAATATACAGAGATAATGGTAACAGTTTAGAGGATCATAACATTCCGAATGAATTTTATATGATTCAAAGATCTCCTGGCACTATAACATGTATATGAGTAAAGAATGAAAAAACTTATACAAAATATCTAACAGTCCAGTTTAACCCATTACGCGATATACACGCCTTTTAACGCTTGTTTTTGTTTGAGAAATGTTGTTTAAAAAAGTGACCACTTTCTCGGCGCGGCCCCCAACCAAAAGATACATTAGGGGTTGCCAGAAGGGGGATGTGCCAAGAAAATTTTGGACTTGTGAGAGGCTAAAGATGACCCCAGATCGATAATAAGGTAACGTGTAACCAATGCTGAAAAGCATTTGACTTGATCTGCATCACTGTGAAATCAATTTTGATGGAAAAAATCAACGCAAACTAGTGATTTTTGGCAATTTTGAGTTGTCCCTTCGTGGCCATTGTATCAGGAAATTTAAGTCTGAGCATGTTGTTGCAAAGGCAATGGTCCAGTAAACATTTGTGCCAAGTTTGATTAGTATTGAATCACTTTTTATAGTTTTATAGCAACTTGAACTTGTAACGGGAGACTTTTCAATGAAAACAGCAGTTTTTTTTCACAAAATGTTCATGAAGTAATGGGTTAAACGCCCGAGAGTGTAACTATCAATGGCGAGCATTGTGGCGCCATTATATGTCGCAACACCGCTAATTGCCGCACTTGCCGATCAATGTCGCACCATTGCCGCTAAATGTCGCAATGGTATCATTTAATGTTAACTATTTTCTCTTGTTGTTAAATGTCGAAATACTACCGCTTAATGTCGCAAGATGTATGTTCTTGATAAAATAAAATAAGATGGTGGTATCAAATTCCAATAAACAATAAGTAAATGTCTGTACATATTTAACAACATTTGGACATAAAGGAATCTCGATACATCTGTCGACTGAAGATTAAAGATGAAAAAAAAAACTTTTTTTTAAAGTGGATTGGTCTTAAAATGGGCACAGTTCAAGAAATATTTCAAATATTGAAAAAAACAAAAAAACAAAAAACAAAAAAAAAACCAATCGAAAACGTATAAATTAGAAAAAATTACCAAATATTTCTTAAACAAAAATACAAGCTCTACGTGATTAAATTTTAATACATGACATTTGTATGATGAATTTACAATATAATGTCCTAGAAGATTTAATTTTCAACATCCATATTTAATTCTATCATAGTTTGTAATCATATTAAATCCTATCAACATAAATATTTATGGTACTGAATACTTTGCATCATAGACGAATACACTTTAAATGTACTTTTTGTTTGCAACTAAATTTAAAACCATTGATGTAAGTATAGTATACAAGTACCCTACATGATAAGCTTTGCTTATTTTTTCAAATTTATAACCACTATAGTGTAAATCTACATGCCCCTCGCTGCTGTGGGTTAGAGCCCCGCCAGGGACTTTAGAGAAGTTCATTTGAGAAAGGTATGGAGCGACGGTGGTTTTACTCAGGTTCCCGTTCGTGCACGGAGTGGCACCATATTTATTTTTCTACACCAGTACAGCTGAACAATCTCTATATGACATTAGTGTGACATTTTAATGTGTAAAAGTAGGCATTTGCATGACTGTCCTAATAAGAAGTTTTTAAAACTCTTTAGGAGAAAAAACAATCACGTCAAACCTGTAGTGAATACCATTGTTAAACATGCGTAAAGTCAAGATTCCAGACGAAATTTTCGGCAACCGCGTCCCATTCTCTTCAGATACTTCAGTTGTCGTAGATTTTGGCGCTGTAAATTCGCCAGAAAATCGTTCTCAAGGTTCAAAGAAAAGCGATTGTTTGATATGGTTCTGATTTGTTACGATTAAATTAATGTAAAGACATCATTTGAAAGACTTAATTGTAATATAACTGGATGATATCTTCTTTCATCCGAAACTCCCCGTGTGGCACAAAAGAAAATGGCGCTCTAAAAAAAATTTTTTATTCAGCATCGACTATTTTATTTACGATTTTGAATTTCCCATGGGGTGTTCAATTTTTAAACGATCAGGGAAAAGCTTTTCGTTCCACATTTAAAGAAAAATGATTGTTTACATTATTTAGACGGATAAACTCGTGCAAAAAAACGAAAATTTTTTAAGTAAAGGAAATGCCGTGGTAAGAATTTCGGGGACATTTCTACCATTTTTTGATGGAAAAAATCTTTACGTGGGAAGGCGGGAAATAAAAAGGGGGTTTTTTGGATCAAAACAGGTACAGTGCCCGACGATTTACCCTTGAAAAATGGATTTGGGGAAGTTACGGAAAAATTTTTATTTTTATTTGTAGAAACGCAGTGAGGGTTTACCCCAAGAGTGAAAGATGACGGTATTATATACCCAGCGGGACTCTGTGACTTGAATGATTCGTAGCTATTAATATGTTATTGGGATTTAAATGAAATATAGCTTATTGGAATCGTCAGTGGATCTGGGAAGAAAATTTTACTTGATGAACACGACAGGCTCAAACATCCTCAGGCTATTTGCTATTTTAGCAAGCAATGGAAGCTGTTTGTTAGCAGTTATTGGTTAGGTGATGACCAGAAATGTTTAAACTATATTAAAGTGTTTCAGTGTTCTCCTTATATGTATATTAAGTCTTCAACTGAATGTTGAGTTTTTTGCTGATATACTTATGTAAGATTAGAATTTTGCTGTTCTTTCATATTCATACCAGTTAATCATCAAAATTAAGAAATAATAATAAAAATAAAAGTTAATCGCGCCATATTGAATTCTTTTTTTAGAATGACATCGTTGTTCTATTTTAAGAATGTGATTATCCGTCTATTTTAAAAAATGTATTTTTAATCTCCCGGAAGTATACGGAGCTGACTCGTATACCCAATCTTAGGGCTTGAATCGCGGACATTGTAGGTCAGGACCTCGGCCCTAGACGGAGAGATAATTACCATCATTACAGATAAAAGAAATGTTTGTAAATAGATACGTGCTTAACATTTTAATTCATAAATTATAAAAAAATTGCTTTTTAATATGTTCAAAGTAATATTTATAATATTTGTAAAATATGACTTGTTTACTTACCTACATCTAGTAAGGAAATGACTGTCATAGCGTAACGTCCTTGTAGACTGCGCATGTGCCGATCTATTTTTAGTCGCGGTATTTCACAATCACCAGGAGGTATTTTATCACGCAGGTGTCATTGAAAGAATAAGGCATTAAGTACAGTCGCCACTTTGTCTAGATTTACAATACCTAGCGGAACTATTTTGAACAAAACCCCTTTATCCTTCGTTACGAAATATAGCTCTTTATTAATCACAAAAGATGAAAAGAATTTATTCCCAGCAGGCACTCGACGTTGTTTCAACGTTGAAACAACGTTGAAATATGGTCGTGACGTTGTTCAACCAATATTCAACTATGGACGACCTTACGGATATATTGCCAATGTATATACAACGTTGATTCAACGTTGTTTATGGTCGAAGTTTTACATTTAGTTTAATAATTATATAAACTTTTATACCACTAATTTTGTGGTATTATTCCTTTATTGAATTAGTCTGTAAGTGATTTTTGTCAGGAATCTTTTTCCGTATATTCAAAAATAGCGCTTAAACAAATAAAGTTGGAAATAATTTTTCACTTTCTATTAACGCTTTAAAAATTAGTTAATATGTTTTGTTGTCTGTTATTTTATTTTTTAATTCTTTATGAATAATATTAATTAATAAATTGGTATTAGTCATAACCCCGTTTATAAAATAACGCTGGTCAGGGGAAGTAATTGTTGCGGGTATATGATTTTGTTTGTTGGTCTATGATTATCGTTCGTGCAAATGGTGGCGCTGTTTGGAAAATTTGAAAACATCACGATTGGCAATTTATTTGGATTTCGAAAGTATTACCGTTATGTTTTACTTTAGTTTACTGATTATTTTTCTAAAATATATTTATTTATTCTTTAAATTCTACTTTAATTTACTTTATGAAATAAATGAGAGATATAGACACATGATTGAGTTGATCGCGACCTAATTGAATGATTTGGGTTCGGTAGGCCTTGTAAGCATGAAGTTATTAATGTCCTTGGCAATTTATGATTTTACAAATCTGGTCTTTCTTTAATTTATTTTCATATTATTAAACATTTGTCTGTACTATATCCTATTTTGAATTTAATCAATTTTAAAATTGAAACCTATAAAGTAGTTCGGCCCACTTAATTTACGTCCCAAGACGATTCGTCAATATATATAACTATGTTTATATTTTATTGATAGTATAATACAGTGTTAATTAGTTTGATAAAAACACATTATAATGATTATTATTAAGTTAAATAACAAATTTGAGTGTTAAACTTTAAAGTTTAATAGTCGTAAATTTAAGGGAAATAATATTAATAAATCTATTTCTATTTTATTATATATTATTTTATATTCTAGATCCTGGTCTTGGCTGAAATTTAGAGTATTGCAGCTGTAGCCTGTACACCATACATTCAACATGAAAAGGACTGTCAGGTTTGTTAAATTGAAATTTATTCTTATTATATATTTGAATTTCTTTACAATACAAAGTATAAATTTTTCAACTACTGGATATTTATCTTGTCTTAAAATATATTTTTTTCGAAATATTCCTGTAACATTATTAATATAAAATTTACATGTTTGTTGATTTCAGGATGCTGCATAAAATAGTCTTAGCTAGAGCCTAGAATGTTAATTTCTTGGGAATATGCTGCAAGGAACTGACGGGGAGCAGTTTTTCTTACCAATCATAGGTGAGACTTTTAAATAGCTTCTTTTTAAAAAAAGATTTTGCTGTGTTATATACTGTATTTGCTGTCAATATCAAACTTAGCTATGTTTCAATTTCTATGCTGTTTTATGATGTAAATCTTAGAGAAAAGCACTTTAAGATAAGAATAAATCACTAAGTTGAGTAATTATATGTATAATTTGAGATTGACCAAGTCACTTTTAACTACAAACTTCTCATTTTTATTTGCAGAAGCAGAAAGAGACAGCCAAAGAAGTACTAAAACACTTGACATACCCAGAAATATCTAGAAGAAAAGATTGGAACAGATTGTAGCTTAATTGTTAAAACTATTAAAGTGAATTTAAGCTGCACGTGAACTGTATTTTTGAAATAAAATATCTGAAGTATTTAATATTGTCTTGATATTTTGTTAAACTTGGTTACTTTGCTTCATATCAAAAATTATAGTATGGTGGGTTTTCAACGTTGAAATGACATTGAAACTTCAACATTGTGCCAACTTTCAAATCCGAATATAAATCCAACCTTATTTCTACGTTGAAATCTGCACATAATTCAACGTTGAAACAACGTTGATGTGCCTGCTGGGTTATCCTTTTAAACGCAGCGACCGTCAATTAAAAACTCATAAACCAGAAATTGCTTCGCATGCATTAACATATTTTATATGTATTGAAGATCACGTCATATATTGTACCCCCTTAATAAGGTTCCTTTTAAGTGCATGCTATGGTCAACTGATTGCATATTTTAAAAAGGGTTGCGTTTAGCAACTGGTCAAATTTTGTGATTTTTATGAACACTTCAGATTCCTATTTTTTTATACGAAAATTAATTTTGAATGCAATTTATAATACACGACAGTCACGTATGTATAAGAAAGTTGTAAACTGATTTTGAATGAAATTTATAATACAATTAAGCTATAAAGAGGGTTTTCATCGTTTGGGCAATCGTTTACGCTCAATTTTTTTTTAGATAAAGTCGTTATAAGATAGAATGAACCGAAAGCTTTCGTTTTGACCCGGGGTTCTCGATTCGATTTTCAGCCGTTTTTGAGTTATGGCCCTTAAGCGGTTTTTAAACCATTTTTTCAAAGTCCATAAAACCCTTAGATTAATGTACCAATGGAAAGATCTCTGCAAGTAGATACAGAAAATGTATTATTATATGGTTATATCTCTGACCGTTTCTGAGATATGAGATATTGAATATGGCAGACAAAATCACTCATGCGTATAAATACGTATAACTTTTTTATTTACTGGGACATACACATAGGCATGTTGCATATCAAACGAAAGGTCTTGAAAAATGCTACAAGCTCGTATTGTCAAACCGATAGTGAAATCACTCATGCGTAAATAAACATTAAAATAACTAAAATAAGCTTACCCCCAGTCTTTACTCCTCGCCTATCAAACTATTTACGACAAAGTTACGCATAGGTTTTTAAACCGGTATTGCTATTTTTAATCAAGCCAATGAAATTGAAAAACGATGACGTCTAAAAATAGACAGCCTTGTTTTGAACGCACTCTTTTCATTAACCAATGAAAAGTGGAGAAGGATATGACAGGATACAGTTGACATAAAAAACGCCGTTTTGTTTTTATGCAACACTTTATGATATCCGATTTTCAAGATATTTGTTTCATTTGATAGTCCTAACCAAATGCCTTCAAAATAACACCCTAGGTTCTCGATTCGATTTTTAGCCGTTCTCGAGTTATGGCCCTTTAGCGATTTTTAAAACCAAATTTTCAAAGTCCATAAAACCCTGGAATGTATATATCCGTTTGAAAGATCTCTGCGAGTAGATACAGAAAATGTATTATTATATGGATCTGTCTCTTACCGTTTCTGAGATAGGAGAGTTTGAATGCATGGCAGACAAAAGGACTCATGCGGGAAAAACGCTCCAACTTTTTCGTTTATGAACGAAACATAGTTTTGTTTTGGTATCAAATTGAAGGTCCTGACGAGTACATTTTACTTACGCGATCAAACGGATGTTAGGTCACTTATGCGTTGAAATTCATTTATGTCTCCCCAACCAACGGACTGATCTTATCAATACCTGTATCGTACGAAAGGTATTACTCATTAAGAATTCAGAAAATGTATATTTTTGTATCGCTGACTCGGATATGGGCACGAGATCTGTAGTCAAAATCACTCAAGCATAAAATGTGGATTGCGCCTTCCTTAGTCATATAACCCGGTCATGTTTGGTATCATACGAAATATTTTAAGGCGCTCTTTATGAATATGGACTAAAAATAACTAGTGCATAAACGCCTCTATTTCTAATTCAAACATTTCTTCCTTGAAAATACTGTACTTAAAATATAAACTCAACTTACTGGTAATGATGTTTACTCTCTTTGACGTCCAATCACCCAAATGGGACTGAAGTCACCACTGCGAAACATTAATGCGCATGCGCTGATCTAAATTTAAAATGACATTGTCCAATCACAGCAAAAGTAACTCTATATTTTTACGGACTCACGACTATAACCAATTCCAGAACAATTACGAAGGAATTATGATCGCTTGACCAATGATTTTGGTCACCGTGACCTATTTAATAACATAAATAGATGAATAATCGTCATATGCAAAAAATGCCAGGGCCAATCAGATTTTAATACGTGTGTATAAAACAGAATATGTCTTTCTGCGTATATTTTATCACTGAAAACAGGATCTGTCTTCTATTTACATTTTGCTCCTCCACAACCACCGCCGCCGCCACCGCCGCCGCCACCACTTCCACCACCACCACCACCAACACCTTCACCACCTCCCACGCCGCCACCACCAACACCGCCACCAACTCCCACGCCACCACCACCACCACCCACGCCACGACCACCACATTCACCATCACGACAACCATCACCACCTCCTTCAACATCACCACCACCAACACCGCCGCCGCCGCCACCACCTTCACACCATCACCTCCACCACCACCACCACCATGTTTATGTTATTAATAGTCACGTGACCAAAATCATTTGTCAAATAATTTTTTTGTCTGATTGGTTACATTCAGTCCGTAAGAAAAAAGTAACTGCTGTTAGATTGGACAATGTCATTTCTAAATTAAGATCAGCATATGCGCATAATGTTTCGCAGTGGTGACTTCAGTCATTTGGTGATTGGACGTCAAAGAGTAAACATCATTACGCAGTAAGTTGAGTTTATATTTTAAGTACAGTATTTTCAATGAAGAATGTTGAATAGAAATAGAGCGTGTATGCACTAGTGATTTTTAGTCCATATTCATAAAGAGCGCCTTAAAACAATTTATATGATACCAAACATGACCGGGTTATATTGACTAAGGAAGGCGTCAATCCACATTTTATGCTTGAGTGATTTTACTACATATCTCGTGCCCTATCCGAGTCAGCGATACAAAAACATACATTTTCTGAATTTAGTGAGTAATACCTTTCGTTCGATACAGGTATTGATAAGATCAGTCCGTTGGTTGGGGAAAATAAATGAATTTCAACGCACGAGTGACTTAACATCCGGTTTGATCGCGTTAGTAAAATGTACTCGTCAAGACCTTCAATTTGATACCAAACAAGACGTTCATAAACGTAAAAGTTATGCGCAGTTTCCCGCATGAGTGATTTTGTCTGCCATATTCAAACTCTCCTATCTCAGAAACGGTAAGAGATAGATCCAAATAATAATACATTTTCTGTATCTACTCGCAGAGATCTTTCAAACGGTATATACATTCCAGGGTTTTATGGACTTTGAAAAATTGGTTTAAAAATCGCTAAAGGGCCATAACTCGAGAACGGCTAAAAATCGAATCGATAATCTAGGGTTTATTTTGAAGCATTTGGTTAGGTCCATCAATTGAAACAAATATCTTGAAAATCGATATCGTAAAGTGTTGCATAAAAGAGAAAAAGGCGTTTTTTATGTCTAATAATCCTGTCATCCTTCTCCACTTTTCATTGGTTAATGAAAAAGAGTGGGTTCAAAACGAGGCTGTCTATTTTTAGACGTCATCGTTTTTCAATTTCATTGGCTGATCAAAAATAGCAATACAGGTTTAAACCTATCGTAACTTGTCATAAATAGTTTGATAGGCGAGGAGTAAAGACTGGGGTAAGCTTATTTTAGTTATTTTAATGTTTTTTTACGCATGAGTGATTTCACTCTTGGTTTGACAATACGAGCTTTTAGCATTTGTCAAGACCTTTCGTTTGATATGCAACATGCCTATGTTATGTCCAGTAACAAAAAAAGTTATACGTATTTATACGCATGAGTGATTTTGTCTGCCATAATCAATATCTCATATCTCAGAAACGGTAAGAGATATAACCATATAATAATACATTTTCTGTATCTACTCGCAGAGATCTTTCCATTGGTACATAAATCTAAGGGTTTTATGGGTTTTGAAAAAATGGTTTAAAAACCGCTAAAGGGCCATAACTAAAAAAACGGCTGAAAATCGAATCGAGAACCCCGGGTCAAAACGAAACCTTTCGGTTCATTCTATCTTAAAACGACTTTATCTAAAAAAATTTGAGCGTAAACGGTTGCCCAAACGATGAAAAACCGCTTTATAGCTTAATTGTATTATAAATTTCATTCAAAATCAGTTTACAACTTTCTTATACATAAGTGTATTATAAATTTCATTCAAAATTAATTTTCGTATAAAAAAAATAGGAATCTGAAGTGTTCATAAAAATCACAAAATTAGACCAGTTGCTAAGGGCAACCGTTTTTAAAATAGGCAATCAGTTGACCGTAGCATGCACTTAAAAGGAACCTTATTAAGGGGGTACAATATATGAAATGATCTTCAATGCATATAAAATATGTTTATACATGCGAAGCAATTTCTGGTTAATAAGCTTTTACTTGACGGTCGCTGCGTTTAAAAGGATAATAAATTCTTTTCATCTTTTGTGATTGATAAAGAGCTATATTTCGTAACGAAGGATAAAGGGGTTTTGTTCAAAATAGTTCCGCTAGGTATTGTAAATCTAGACAAAGTGGCGACTGTACTTAATGCCTTTTTCTTTCATTGACACCTGCGTGATAAAATAGCTCCTGGTGATTGTGAAATACCGCGACTAAAAATAGATCGGCACATGCGCAGTCTACAAAGACGTTACGCTATGACAGTCATTTCCTTACTAGATGTAGTAAGTAAACACGTCATATTTTACAAATATTATAAATATTATTTTGAACATATTAAAAAACATTTTTTTATAATTTATAAATAAAAATGTTAAGCACGTATCTATTTACAAACATTTCTTTTATCTGAAATGATGGTAATTATCTCTCCGTCTAGGGCCGAGGACCTGACCTAAAATGTCTGCGATTCAAGCCCAAGATTGGGTATACGAGTCAGCT